TTTTTTTTTTCTAAATACTGTAACAGTTTTTTTTAATTGTGGATTTTCCATATGGCTAGAATCATGCAGCAACAGTTTCCAGTAGCTGAATTTTAATTTACGTTTGTCTGGTAGAATCAAATGCATGTTTGTGCAAGAAATTGCATCTTCATTACAGATTAGGGCAACTAGATTTGGTTTATATTTATAGAAGATTTGTACATAAGTTCAACAACTAAGACACATGCTCTTCAACTTGTTAATATTTCAAGAAATTTTACTAGCAGAAGTAAACACAATGTCCAGGAAAAGCTTGCTGCTTGCTGTGTAAGCCTCTATAGTACATGCCAAAACCAAAAAGAATATTAATAAAAGTGAATATTTATGATTATTGGGAGAGGGAAAAGTCGTTAATAGTAACAAATAGCAAAACTGTCTAAAGAGTTGAAGAAAGCTCACTATTCTTTCTTTGGAAATAGATGTGACAGTGGATCATGAGGTTTGGTGAGATACAGGAGAAATGGCTTTTTTGAGCAATTAGTAGAACTGGTGATAATAGAGATTTTTAACTAGTTGGACAACTTTCAGGAAAGTCATTCAGAAGAAAGGAGATACTCTAGCAGGTTCTCAGAGTTCATAGACAGCAAAGTTTGGGGACTGCTCTCAGGACTACAGGGAGCTGAGATGACAGTAATCTTCAAATGTGTAAAAGTTTACTGCAAAGAGGAAGGAATCATTTGTTCTCTGTTGCAGGTGGATATCCTAAAAGAAATGCTGTAAAATATTACACCAGCTGTGGCTTTAGATTAGATATGAAGAAAAGCTTTCAAACATATAATTGCTTCTGGCTGTAATATTAATAACTCCTTGAAACATTGTTCATGTTACCCATAATTGCTGTTCTTACTGCAAGATTCCTCAGTAACAATTCTATAATATAGATAGAATTACAGAGTACTTTAGCCTGTAAGACACCTTCAGAAGTCTCTGGTCTAACCTCCTCCTGCTAAACACATGATCAACACTGAATTCAGACCAGGTTCCTCAGATCGGACAAGGGACCCTCTGAAGTTTCTTCCAAAATGAATTTTCTTGGAATCTTATGATTAAATAGCACTGGATTAAGAAGTAGTATTCAGAAAATGAAAGACAATTTTGATGACTATTCTCTACCAACAATTACTCAATTACATTTTATTTCCTCTTAAAAATGCTATTTTAATTTGGCTATTGCTAATTTTATGCTTAGCATGTTGGAAATTAAAAGAATCAAGTTTTTTGGAAGAGTACATTACTTTTTTATCTTTGACAACCAACCTGATTATGAAGTTAAAAAATATAAAATTAAAATAATTAACTTAAAACTAGTAGAAACTATAAATATAAAATATGAGACAAATCATGTTAAGAAATAATTAACTGGCAATAACATTTTCCATAAAATTTTGCTGTATCTTATATTGTCAGTGTCTCCATAGGTACTGTAACAGTTTTGAAACTTGGACACTGGTATTGATTTTCAGGTGAAAGTCTATCAATGTTGCATCTTGTGGATGTAATAAATCAAGATCCTTAACTGTACCTGCTAATACGGTCACTACTGCAGAAAAGGCGTTGATCTTTAGCCCATCAAGGACAGTACTGTAGTAGCACATTTCTACTGACATAAGAATGGCTCCAATCAGAAGCAAAATGATGTACAGAAGCTCTGCTACAATAGACAGCCATAAAACCCCTGGAAAATCAAATCAATAGCACTGATATTATAAGCAGTCACTTAGTATTTTCACCATTGTAAACATTTATACTGTTTACACAACATTAAACAAAAGCTCGAAGGCTGTGAGGATGCTAGCATAACATCGATAGGAAGACTTCAAGGTCAATGGATGGCCTAAATTATAATTTCTTTTACTGATTTGGCCATTTAGTGGAAGAACACTTGCACATTCCTTCTCTACACTTAAGAAGCTTACAGTACAAGATCGAGTAGTATGGTTTTGTACTCAATAGCTACTTCAAAATTACCATGAACCAAAGTTAATATAAAAAGAAGAATTGCTATCCAGTTATCTAGTTTTGACATCACAGTTGCTGAGTCCAGAGAAAAGTGCACCAAAATGGAAGACCATGTTACCCAGCTAGCAAACTGCCAGGCCATGCACTCAGCTACGTGACCTGAGGGTCTAGTCATCAAATAAAATTTTCTCTGTAGGCTTAATTTTCCACCAGACAGGATCTTGATTGTTTGGACAGAGATGTCTTCATGACCCCAGACATTCTCTAGGTTTCATTGAGATTCATTTCTCTGGTTATCTGCTAAATCTTATCTTTCTTGATATCTGTTAATTACATCTCATGCAAGAAGTTAATCTTCCCATTACAGTTTCTGAGCCTGTTGTTTTATGATCAGCATGTTAACATCCCACAGTCAGGAGCAGGAGGTCTTGTGCCCAGATTATAGCAAGAACTGGCCAACAATCTTCCCAAACCTTATTAAAAACAAGTAAGTGTGTTCTGAGGCACCTGGTTGTAGATTGAAATAGTGGTTTCATGTGAAGGTATACACTAACAATCCTAACTTAAAATAGAAACATTGCTAAGAGAGGTAATTGATTACTAAACACTACATATGGCAGTAAACAATGCTTATGTGGTGAATAACTCCTGCTGCAGGGTTTGACAGTGTCTCTGGGACTTCTCTGATTCAAAGGCCATTCTTGTCCCAGGCTATGTGTGGGGGTGCCTGGGCAAGGTTTATTTCTCCAGAAAACCTTTGTTTCCGTAAAAATTCTTATTTTTTTCAGGAGCTCCAAATGTTATGTTGCCCAACAGTATTGGCTGCTCCAATACTTCAAGAGCTTGCATTTTAAAATTTTTGTGAGTCATCATTACATATAAACTGAACAACTATGATAATCCCTGTTTATGATGTCTAGGGATGATAAATCCAGGAGGGATATCATGTGAGTTTTGTGCACACAGGTAGCCATATGCAAGTGCAGAACACAAGCTCATTCTTCTCCCGTGCAGGGCAGGAGTCTGTTTCCACATAGGATTTCACTACTGCAGGATAGATTGTCAGTATGGTTGTCAGGTACCTAGATCTTAGGTGTCTTGATCCGACCTGCAGGTGTCTGTGACATCTGCTGATGCTGCGCACAGTTAGTTTCAGCACTACGTCCACCAGTGTTTTCACATGTAAGGAGTTCTCAGAGCAGGGCTTATAATCCATCCCTCTTTTCTGAGGGCTGTATCTGTGTGACTAAGAACCAGACCTCATTCATATCTTCAATTATATCATTTATATCTTCAATTATTTGTGCACAGTGACAAGCTGCAATAGAGGGGAGGACTAACCTTCCAATACTGAGTTTCTTTTTCCCCAAGGGGCTGAAATTGCATATCCAAGAAAGTACTCCAGTCCTAGTATCTTGGAGGTGCAACTTCAATGCCCCGGGGGAAGAAGGAAGACGTTATTTTCTGGATCAGCCGCTTGCAAAGTGGTTGATCTAACCACATAAGTGACAGGGTTTACATTGCGGAGGGGCGGGGGCACTTAATGTCATTGCAGGCATGTTTTATAGGAACATGAACCGTTCTTTGAAAGAAAGAGGGCAACTCTCTGCTTTCAGGAGAATGGAAATACCTCCTTACAGCTCTGTGTAAGGTACAGGGAAGGGATGCAGACTGCCATCAAGATTGGCTGGGTCCACAACATGTCTCCTCCAAGTCCCCTCAGCGTACTCCCTGCCCTTGTTCATGCACTGCCTGTCCTGCCCTCTCCAGGCTGCATGGTGCAAGCCACAAAATCCTGACTGTGAATATGGAGGTATGAGGAAAGAGGTGGAAAAACTTAGAAATCTTGACTTCCAGTACCTATATTCAAAGTAATTTAAAAAAATATTCGTATTCAACTAGGGTGTTTTCAAAAGACAGAGATCAATATTTTAAGTCATGTGGACTTCATTTTGAAGTTGAAAAACTAAATAAAGGACAGAAAACTGCGATATCAAAATAGGGAATATTTATATTGATAAATGTGACCAGGAAAGTTTTATTTACACAAGCAATATATGCATGTTTACCTCGATCAGCAGCTGGAGTCAGACTGATGAAGCTTCTACATTTCTCACCTAAAAAAAAAAAAAATAAAATTTAGGATTATTTTGTATTCTGTAATAATCTAAAGAAATAAATTAATGGAAAGCAGAAAATGCAAAATCTATCATAAATGTACAAATTGTGATGATCAGGAGAAACTGTTTCTGATGTATGCTTGCACACAGAGTCCCTGGTACATCATCCTACTCCTGGGACTTAGCTAGAGTATCCTTCCAGACTTTATCAAGGCCAAACCAGAGTCTGGGAGACTTAGGGAAAGGCTATGAATTCATTTCCAAAAGGTTGTAGCTGCAAAAGCCAGAATGGGAAAGCAATCAATTCCTTCGAAAGACTGGCAGCCTGTATACCATCTCTCCTGCGCAGGAAAACCAGCTCTCGTTACAGCAACAAGGCTGCTGCTCTCATAAACTTCTTCTAAGCCTGATTCCAATTTCTTTCTGTAAGCTTTGCTTTTCAAACCCATGTGACCTCCTGACCCTCACACAGATGCTGTGAACAAAGCTCTCAGAATTAATTCTGCTCTGCTCTGAATATGCAGGGTGGCTTTTTTCAGCTAACTGCATCGAGTTGGAAAACAAGAACTGTCATAGCCGATGCACAAATTAAACAACCCTGGTATCCATAGCAATCACCACTTGAAAGACGTGTTTTGAAAACGTATTTTGCTCTGATCTTCAACATTACTCCCCTTAAAATTGCATAACTTGCAAGACTTTCGGGTAGAACTGGACTTTCAGGACAGGTGACTGAAAATATTTGCATTCAATAGCACAGATGACAGTGATTTGATTTCTCTGAAGTTTTGTTCTAGTTGTTATTTTTAAACTGATCAAGACAATAAGGGGAAAAACTTGATGATCTGAATTTACAATAAATGCCTGATTTATTGAACCAGCTAAGACATTCCCTTATACATAGATTCTAAACTAACTAGAAGCTTTCTTTAATGGTAAGCTAATGTCATCCTACTGACATTTACACACGCAGAGTGAAACTCAAGTGTCACCAATCATGACTAGCAAATCTCCAAATTATGTGTCAGCAGGGTGAAAATAATCTTCTGCTGTGATTTATGAAAGGTGAGATCCCACTAAGAAAGTAGAAATACCTGTGCTTAAGAGGAAATCCATGAAAAAACTTCGATCTCAGAAATTGAATTACTCAAATAATTTCTAAAACAAAAAAATCACATTGTGCCTTTTATGTTGCCATAGGGGATCATAAGCAATCATTTAAGGCAAATATGTTCATTTTTCCCTAAGGGACTAACAAGATCAGAAAAAGAAAATACTTTCCTGTTGAGGCAACTTAACTTGCTGCTCTGGTTAGAATAATAATAATAATAAAAAAATCTTCATCTGTACTACAACCTACCACTCTAAAGTTCTTCACAGAATTTATTAGGAAATTTTTAGGAATTAATTAGATAGTACCCTCTAAGATTCCCCTTCCCAGAGAAGAGCAACTTTTTTGGGATACTTTTTCCATTAAAATACATGTATGATATTGCAGCAAAGAGGAAGTTGACATCAAATAAGTAGGAAGAACTATGATAAAATTTAAATTTCCATGGATTTACTCACCTTTTTCATTTATCATTTCTTCACAGGAATACCAAATCCCAGCATGAAACTTTCGGTCAACGAACTTGTCATCTCCTGTCTCCCAAATATACTGCACAGCATTGCTGTTGTTGCCATCAGGGTTATTAAAGCGGATGCAGTTGTCCCCTTTGCTCTCTCCTGTACAGAAAGGTTTGGCAACTTTTCTCGTCCCTTCACACCAGTAACTGCTACTGAATGCTGTAATAGAGAAGACTAAAGAGAGAAAACTGAGAGAAAATGCTGCTGAGGCTCTCTGCCGTCTGTCTGCAGCTGGGACTGAAACTGGCATCCTCCGCGACTGCACTATCAATTATTCTAGAAACAACCTTTAACAAAGCTGTGTAGATATTTGCCTAGTGAAATACCTGCTTGTATTTACCATTCCATTCTTCATTCCTCTCAGAAAATTGTACCAGCTTAGTAGTTAAGACAGAAAGCGGAGCTATGGGCATGACCATAAATCATGTGGCAGGAGAGATTAAGGATATAGAACAGTGTTGTTTGGCAGTAATGTCTTGTGAAAGAAAGATGAGGAGGTGGGAGAATAAATTATAGTTTGCCCTATGAATTACAGGAGTAAAGATACACAGAACACAGAGGCATTGGAAGTACCCCAGTACATGATTAGAAAAGTTTTATTTATGCAAACAAAATATGCTTATTTACCTTGATCAGCAGATGGAGTCAGACTGATGAAACTTCTCCATTTCTCAGGAAACAAATAAGTAAAATCTGGTTCCAAATGCTCCTGTTACACTGAATACTGACTTAATTGAATACAGTTGTGAATCTTACTATAAAGAAATTCCTAAGGAGATAAAACCAACTGTCAAGTCAGAGCATTTCACAGCATTATAGCACTTCCCAAGACCACTGGGAAGGTGACTGGATCTTTTTGAAGTTCCACCAGTGACAAATGAAAGTCACAAGTTACATGACTTTGCTATTGATGTGCTTCTGGGCACTGTCCAGTCTGCCTCTATGAACACATAATAGCAGTCTTGCCAGTTAGGTGAAAGAGTAGAAGAAAAGCTGAATTATCCTCATTTTGTCTGCCCATCTGTTCTCTCTGTCAAATATCATTTCTCTTGCCTTCATCTAAGAAAAATTTCCCATCTCGACATGTTATATATGTTCCTTTTTCTGCCGATTTGATAATGCAAGTAAATGATGAAAAAAATCAGAAAGGAGCAGGAATATTAGTAAATGATTGCTTCATTTTACAACTGTAAGGTCAAAGCACATACCCTAAGGGAGAGTGATACCACAGGACAGACACCGAAGTCACAGATGTATCCTTTAATGAAAATAATTCTGATTTTTAAGACAACTCTCTACCCAGATGTCAGGGTTGGAGAAGCATTTGCCTTGACAAATCCCAGCAAGAAACTCAAACGAAACAGGATAAATGCCTGCTTTAGACTGTTACAAAGACCTCAGCTTGAAGAGCCGGCTAGCCATCGAGTGAAAGACCAAGCAGGTATCTGGACCAAAAATGGCAGAGCAAATCTCATAATCCAAAAATCAGACTGTAAATTGAGCCAGAAGTTATTTTTTCCTACAGCTTTGTGTTACTGTATTTTCACAAGGATACAGCAGCACTCATGAACTCCACCTGAAGCCTCTGTGTATTGACATGCTGCTTCTGGGCAGCATTACCAACTGCCCAGCAAGTCTGAGAACAGGATCAGTGCGAGGGAAGGAGGGAGGGAGACAGGGAATTTCTCATAAGGATTAAACACTTATCTATTCCCAGGAGTAGTCTGCATATGGCTGTATTCAAACATATTTTGAGGCCTATGAAATCACTGTCTCAAGACAGTTGAATTCACTTGGAAATAACACTGACAGCTCTTCAAGATCTACAAACTTCACAGTTTTATGCCCATTATAAAATTTAATCAGCATAAACATCATAGCACTGTAGTCTTCGTTGTCTAAATAGACCTTGTACTAGACTATGAATCAGTCTCTGAAGACTTCAGAAAAAGCTCTCTCAATTGATATCTTCTGATTGACAACTGCAGTCTGAGATTTTTCACTGAGCCAGTTTTCTGCTCATGCATTATCGATGCTGGTGTCACAAAATTTAAATCAAGTTGCCATGTAAGAATGCTCTATATAATAGGAGAAAAGTATTGCACAAGCATTTATTGGTTAGATTTGTCAACTGTGAATAAAGAAAGAAAATAAAAGAGGAGCAAATAGATTAGCTGCTCCTTCCTTCAAACAAAGCATTATATTCAGTGATTTTTGCTGGAGTAAAGTTGAGAGTGAATGAGGGTGGGTAGTTGTGGCTAGCGTTCAGCATTATGACCTTCCAGACTTAACGTCGTTCTAGTAAAACCTCTGAACATAACTCAGAAATTCAAATTTCAGCTTTGCGTTCTCTCTTTACCACCTAGTGCTGCAATTTATTGGTGTAATTACAATATGGGGATGCCTTAATGTACCTCACCTCCTGCACTGACCAAGTCCTGGGCAGTGTTAACTCTAGAGAAGGACCACAAAGCTCATTCAAGTATAAACTACAGACAATCTTTTAAAAGTGAGTAGGTAAAAGCTAACTTGTAGAAGTCAAAACTGAAAACAGAGCCTCAGCTGCTGGGTGCCAGCTACCAGTGAAGATGAGTGGACTTGCACGCTCCTGAGCAACAGTGAGGATGTACGGCAAGATGTTTTGTGGATCTCCTTATCTAGGGTCTACGCAGGCCTCAGGGTTTCTTGAGCGCTAGGAAACTCCTTATGGTGATCTCAGAACAGATCCAATGCCAGGGCACTATTCGTCTCCTGGTTTTAACCTGCTACAGAGCTGATCTTTATCATATGGCCATTAGGAAATGTGGTTTTATCCCTTGTAGCAACACACAGATGAGCAGTTGCTACAGGGGCTTTGAAGTGCCCCTCACTGGTCCCCGGAGTTGCCCTTAGCTGTGGCAGGAAGGAATGTGTGTACTGACACACGCACCCAGGAGGCACAGTAGTGCAGAGCAGCCCTTACTGCCAGGCCTCTAGAGTGAGCTGGATGTATTTCCACCCTGAGATACTTGTCCCAGAGCACTTCCATACCCCATGTCCCCGCACTCTTTTTTAACACATCTAGACTTTATGGAAAGATGAGACATGGGTATGCATAATGCCCTTTCACCTCCTGGATTCCTCCAGAAGAAAGTTTTGGCATGTGTGTAGAGAGAGACTCAGGTCACACTGCTAGCCAGGTTGATGGGATGTGCTGCAGGGTGCATCTGCCACACAGTTTGGGTTTAGCCTATGTCTGGCATCAAAAACTGCGTGCTGCTTGCCTCCACCGTCCTAGTGTTGCACCCCTACCTGTTTTCCAGCTTAGCTGCTCCCAACACCCATGAGTTCTGGGAAGGGCATGAGCCGTCCTCCCATATGAACAGCTGCAAGTTTAATTTCTCTTGGAAATGGAGGAGGCAACATCTTCTTGTCTCTACATATTGCCACTATGACAATTGTTATTGCCAATATGACAATTGTTAGCTAGACACTAAAATTATTGTATTATAAATTGGTTTATTCCCTGAGCCTGTATAACACACAGATTTATCAATGTTTTCAGGCTTTTCTCTGCAACTAGAAAAGTTGCAAACCATTTTTTGAAAATTAAAGCTGAAATTCATTGACCATTTCTCCAACCTCACAGCTGAAGCTGTGAATAAACCACTGAATGTCATAAAAATTGTAGTAAAACTTTAGCTGCTGGTAACATCATTTTTTTGTACATCTAGATTCTCCCTAATCCTACACTGACTGTGCATATTTGACAGAAAATGATCAGAAAGGATAAAAACAGCTATTACTGAGCTGCTGCCTAACAGCCAACTAGATTCAGCAAGCTTCCTACACAAAGTTATTCTGTGTTCTAAGGCATCTTTTAATGGTTTTATGAGGTGTGTATAAATATATACATGTATTTATGGAGCTGGACTGCATTCTTGCAAAACCACTGGCAAAATTCCCATGTAGTTTCAAGGGAACAGGATCAGCCCTTTAATGTTTTAATAGTTTTCTGACTTCTTATTGGCTAAAGGACAAGCTACAGTAAGCAGACTTTCTGTGAAGTTTAGAGTAAATTGTCTCTGCCCTTAATCAGAAAAAAAAGAAACGTAGTTAGAGTCTAGCAAGCCTAGACACTTTAGTAGACTTCCTTACTTATTTGTAAGAAGACTCGTTAACAGTCGCACTCATAAAAGAAGATATTTTTACCTTTTTTCACAGGACAGGGTGATATAGTTGTTCTATAGAAGACTGAAATAGCAGCATATTGGGGGCAAAGTTATTAGCATGGGCATGGTGACACTTTTGAGTCTCTGTTCCAGCATGACACTCTGGTCCAGAATGTCTCCTGCACCTGCAAGTTCTGTAATGATATTGTTTCTAGTGAAACAGGTAAGTTAATTCAATAATTAATAATGGACAGTATAAGAGTATATTCCTATCACATAACATTTTAACCTTCACGAACAGCATGTTTTTTAAAAAAATAGTTCTAACAAAATGATTTATGTTTATTAAAAATTAATCATGAGAAATGTTGACTGAGAAACTGTAGAGTTTTGTATTACATTTTTTTTCTATTAATGATCATTCATCCAGTGAATAAAATGTGTTTGCATCCATTTATACAATCTCTTTTCATGCTAATATTCACCAATATTGAATTATATTTATTTTTCAGTTTTCCTACCAGATATCAATACTATTGTGAATCGTGTTTATTTTCTACTGTCTCCCCTGTTCTAAAAGCAGCTTTGCCTTGTTTCTAGCACCGTCTTTTAACCGTTGACTTGTTAGACGAGTGAGCATTGAATCTCAAATTTGTGAAATCTGGTGTTAATGGTTTCATGCTACACCTCAGCTTCTTACAGAAGGCTAATAAAACTGTACGTGATTTCTACTTTTATTTCTTGTAGAGATCTGCTAAACTACTCACTTCTTTTTTTTCTAAATCTATAAAAAAAATCGGAAAGCTTACTTCTTTGTCTATTTTGTCTTGTAATTTGGAAGATTTTTAGGTATTTAATGACAAAATATTTTAGAGCATTTCACTTCAAGGAAATTTTCATGTGTGCTTTTAATCATTATTAATTTATTAATATCAACCTGGATTTCAATAAATTTTTTTAAATTACTCAGATGTAATAAATTTCAATTCATCTGAATAAAATTCATATATAGATTTAGGGTACATGTCTATGAAATAAATGTGCATGAAAATAAGTGTAGTTGACAGGCTTACTTTAAACAGAAAGTAATAAAGTATTTCTATCCACTTGTCCTCCATTTAGTTGTTGGGTTAGTAAAGAAGTGGGTTTGCATGTGTATATGCTGTAGAGGCTGTACTTGTGTTCCTAACTTTTTTATGAAGAAAAAGTTACCAGGAGACACATATTCTGGAGGGTTTTTTTAATAGTAAATATTCCTAATGCTTTTGTATAATTCAAATCTATAGGGTTTTTTCACATAAATGAATATAGAATTGAAACAACTCTCGGGTTTATGAGACACTTTAAATCTGTAGGACGCTTTGACCAAAGTACTGATTCCATAATGTTAACAGAAAATCTCCCAATTATTTCCTTGAGATCAAAACTTTTCAAGACTATAAAATTGCAGTGAATTATTTTGTCATAGTTATTCCTGTAACTTGTTTAAAGAAATATATTTCTTTATATTTTATTTAATAAGAAAGAAAAATGTAAAGCAATAACAATCACAAATCACTATTATCCACGTTTTCTAGCAAACATCTACATAGATATGAAAAATATCAATCAGAGTAAACCAGGGTCATGAATGAAAGAATAAGTACATAGTTAATCTCTTATTTCTAGTTTATATCTAAATTGAAGGTTTTTTTTCTGTCTAAAATAACACAGTCTGAATAAACAGAAATATTTCATTTCACCGTTAGCTTAGTATAAGAAATTAAAAGGGTGAAATCCTGATTGTACTGTGGTCAGTTACGAAAAAAAAAATACGTTTAAACCAATCTGTTTGCAAATTTGGAGGTTTATTATTATAATCCACTTCATAAGCAAGAGTTTCAGGCAGTGTTATCTGCTGCATCCAACACATTTTTAAACAGTGGTGTCATCTTGGTGCAGCCTGTGGGCTCTGAGCGAATCAAATGAATTGAAAGACTTTTTCAGGGAAGTTTGATTAAAATTCAGTATGGGTGAATTTTGGTGCAGTCAGGGTGTCGCTCACAGGCTGAGCAGTTCAGTTGCTGCCAGTGAAACTTCAGATAGACTGAAGTGAAGAAATGTCCAGTGTAGGGCAAAAGGTTGTGCATTTTCAGAGCTTCTGTCTTGGACATTGGCGTTTTGTTTCTTCTGAGTCGGAAGTCCTACTTAAATGCTAGTGGCTGAACACCAAATGAAACATAAAACTGAGGTCAAAAGCCATGCTGAGCTGCATGTTGCCACTGCTTGAAGTCATGGTAGATTTACCTGAAAGTGGTGTTGCTACCACTGAGCATGCATTGTATCTGAATTTTGATAGCACTGAGTAGCCCTTGGATCATAATAAAACCTCACTGGGATCTGTAATCACAGACTCATGTCAGATGCAGAAAGCAATTTGTCAGTTCTTCTCAGAACTTACCCACAGGACTGAGCCTTCTTCCACATGTGGCAAAAGGATGAAAAGCCACCGCGATCTCAGCAGTGATTGCTGTGCTTCTCACATTGACCCAGACTGCAGACCCTCCTTTTTCTGAGAGAGCCTGTGCTGCTCTATGAAGAATAATAGTGACATGGATACAAGGTCTCTTTGATCCTTTTCACTTAGATATAGGACATCAAGGTATCTCACCTCTTTAAATTCCCCTTCCCTCTTAAGGCTAGTGCCTTATTTCCAGTCCACACAGTTTGCCTTCTCACCAGGCAGTGAATAGTTCTCTAGTACACTGAATGCAGAAGAGCCTTAACAGGATGTCCCACTGCAGAAAACACTGAAGTCTTCTGTCTGGGGCAACTGAATCAAGCCCTTTCAAGCCAAGAAGGGCTTTCTCATTCCAAGGCACTGCCAACATTCTTCAACCTTTTTTCACATGTATGTCCTTATAGATTTTCCCCAGAGTGGAGACCACTGCAGACTGAATAGTCATGTACGAACAGCAAGCTTGCTTCTTAGCTACTTCTAGCAATCCCTGTCAGTTCACAAGTTGCTGCCATTCAAGTCACCATGGTTTGCTTTGTTTATAATTTCTTTGATAAGACAAATCTATGGGGATTTCTTAGTCTTTTAGTTTAAAGATTAAGACCACTCCAGCACTTTCCTTACAACTTGCAGATTTGTCACCATCTCTTTTGAGGTATGACCATCAGAGTTAGTCGTATTATCCAGACAGACTTGCACCAGGGACAAATACTGCTCATTAATACTGTCTTATACTCCTTTTCAACATCCTCCTGTATATGTACAACTACAGAAATGTCAAGTCTCCTGTAATGCAACATTGTCTACAGGGGGCTCATGTCACTTCATTTCTGTGACTAAATATAAATTCTAGAAAAGTCCTGGCATACATCCTCCAGCTGTGGCTTCTAGGAGTAAAATGTTGCGTTAAGTCTATCACAGTGCATGTTCTACAGATGGGTTAATGTTTCTCTGAGATCTAAATGGCCCTTATTAACTGGTCATTGTCTGCTCCTCTGTTAATTTCCAATCATCTTTACATTTTTTTATTAATAATTCGAATCATTTTCCATGTCCTTCTAACTATATTTCAATTAGCTTTCGAGATCATGTGACAGTTCTTAAATTTTTGTCAGGTGCAGCTCTAATTTTATATAGACTTGATTTGCTTTTTTCTTCAGAAAGTCTTATGGTAGAAAACCAAGCATCTCAGATATTTAATGACCAGATATTGGCTATCTGACTCTCCCTGCAGCTTTGCAGAAGCTAACAATTACATAAGGAAGTGATGTAAAACTGTCATTTATGCCTAAACTGTTCCTCACTCTTGTTGAGTGAGCTTCTTCATGACTGTATGTCAACCTCTTCTACAGGAATGGAATCAAAGAAGGAGCCAGGTATCCTCTGTGAGGCTTTCCTTGTATTTCCTTGGCTGTTTAATGCATTTGTTTATTAGAAACTGAAGTGTTATCCCTTAAATCAAGCAGCCTTTTCTACAAATGCGTCATCTACATGTCTTTGCCTCTTCAAATGAGGTTCACTGACCCAGGAGTGTCTGAAGAATCTCTCCTGGCTCCCAGCATTTTGAGGTCTACATGAGGGAAATGTCGAGATGCTTTTCATTTTGGAAACATGCATTCCTTTCTCATGGCTGCTGTAAATATTCTCTCCTTATCTTTCAGGCCCATCAGAGAAAGAATAATTATAGTCTTTCTACTCTCTGGAATTTAAAGTAGAGTGTCTGGAGACTCTGAGAGACTAAAAGCAAGGTATTGGGCAGGCAAACGTGTAGAAATACAGGCATGCTGTATTTCTACACAGTAAAAACATGCATGAAAGAGTGGTCTCATATAGCAGCTAGCTAATATTCTCCACTGTTCTTGTTTTGAAAGTAAATAAATATTATATTCTTTATTTTTCCAAAAAACATTGGTTCAAAGAGAAAGATACAGGTGAATTTCACAGTCATATGTTGTCCTGGTGTAGTGGTTTTATAATAAAAGGACTGAGGGTCCAGACAAGAACAGAGGGAGCACCCACCAACCATGGTCCCGGGCAAAACAGACTTGGCTTTCTTAAAACAAAAACAATTTATTAACAGTTGCTTAAAAAGGACAAAGGGAATATGGTTTAATGGGGATTAGGGATGGTTGGACTCGATGATGTCTAAGGTCTTTTCCAACCTAGAAATCTATGAATCTATGAAAACCGGTTGCTTGAGAGGAGAAAGAGAAAACAAGGCCAGGTCTTAAACACAACACCTCCCCACCCCCCTTTCCTTTTGTTCCCGGCTCTACCTTCCCCCCAGCGGCGCAGGGGGACAGGGAATGGGGGAGTGCAGGTCAATTCATCCATGATGTTACTGCCGCTCCTTTCTCAAAGGAGGAGGAGTCCTTACACCATCTTCCCTTGCTCCAATGGATCCCCTACTCACGAGGGAAACTCCACAAACTTCTCCAGCGTGAGTCCTGCCCGCAGGATGCAATCCTTCCCCATCGGATCGCTCCAGTGGGAGCTTTACCACAGTCTCGGATTCTTAGGGAGTTGTGGCCACTCGCTTCGGCGTGGATCGTCCCCCAGACTCTAGATGCCTCACGCCCTTGTTGTGCATCCCAAGCTCCATTATTAACAGTTACTCGTCGTGCATCCCATGCTCCACGACCTCTCTCAGGCTCAGCATCTCTTCCCTGACGTGGGCTTCTCCACGGGCTGCAAGTGGGTCTCTGCTCCACTAAGTCTGTCCTGGCTGCAGGGGCCGCCTGCCATCTCGCCACCGGTTGCAAGGAAAACTTAGCTCCAGCACACCTCCTCCTGCTCCATCTTCACTGACCTGGTGTTGGTGTGGCCGTTTCTCTCAGGTCTTACTCCTCTCTGGGTGAACTCGGCCCAGTGGGCACCCTGGGAGCGGGTGTTCCCCGAGTTCCCCAAGCGGCTCTGTCACCACCATCTTGAGCAGGTGGTGCCGGCCTGGTACGGGCAGCTGCCTGGCCAGGCTCAGAGAGCGAGGGCAGTGCCCCTCTCCCTTCTCCTCTCTCCTGGGCAAAAGCACACCTTTCCAGTTCCTTTGTCCCAACTTAAATAGGGCAATTCGCAGAGGCGCCGATGATTGGCTCAACACCGAGGGGGATGGGAGTCGGATCTGGTGGCACAGGGAGAAAATCCCCTCTCCTGCCACCAGAACCCCCTCCCCCACATCGAAGTATCACACCTGGTTAGTTATCTCAGTCCTCGGCACCGAGCTCAGACAAGCTCAGGACAACCACAAATGCGAAAGGCAGTTTCCAAGGGCAAAAGGGTCTAGTCTAGACAAAGGAAATTGATTTTCCCTGGAGACTTGAAAAGCATCTTTTGGTGTAAGGATTGTTGTTTTTCAGAAAACTTATATTTAGTCTGCTTTCCAAAATTTGGTTGTTACAATTGGTGACATTTTTAACCTACTGGTTGAAATTTTTTTCATTTTTGGTGACTTATAGTGACAATGTTCTTTGACTATTTGCCCACCTCTGGCCTCTCAAAGCCCTGGTTTCAGGATACTAGCAGGCATATTACACAGAGACTGCTTAGGCTAATGTTCTTTTCCCTGGATAAATAACAACCAAGTTATCATGATGATGATACTGAACTATAAGGAGTATCTAGCAGTATCCTTTCTCTACTGCTTTGCTCCTAATTAGATATTTCTTCAACAGCCCAAATCTAACATGTCACCAAGCAATTTTGCTTTTAGCTATTCTATTTTTAGCCTTTCCTTTCCAAAACAGTAATTATCAGTTATGGCCCTCTTAAAGGCCTCTTCATTCAGAGCATTGTGTGATAAAGATGTGTCAGAAAGATGGATATTTACAGAGAGCAAGTTAAAATGCAAGAGTCCCCTCAGGGCAATTGCAACCCTTACATTGATAAGATACATGCCACAGATGTCCACCACATCCTAAACACATCAGTCACTATATATAAAATCATTATTAAAGTCTGTCTACGGCTAGGATGTATTTATTTCTGTATTTAACAGCAGAGCAGATTTTATATTAGGAGTAATTTTATCAGTGGCGACAAATTTAATTCTTTCCTCTCTGCTAGCAACTGTTGACCTCCACCCCTGATCTCACCCTTTCATGCTAACATCTAGGTCTCTTTCCTTTCTGCTTGTCTGTTTCCCAATGCCAAGGGAGTGGCTCAAGGTCAGCAGGTCCAAGCAGGGCTTCTAAGCCTCTTCTCTCATTCTCTTTTTCAACACCACTGACAATTCCCTCAACCTCTGTGTTTCTTCTGTGTGTTTCTGCGGCAACAGTGCCATCCATGTCTTGTAAATGCAGCAATCCTCTCCCATACGGCCTGCCAGAATTTGTCCATCAGAGCAAATTCTCATTTAGACACTAAGATATTTTTTGCTTCGGGTTCTCAGTCTATCTTCACCCAGAAAAGAAGAGAGAGGGTGATAGGTCCAGTAGGACCCTGTGGATTGAGGGTGCATTGTTCTTGCTTTTAGAAGCAGCTAAAAGCATTTGGGGACAGAAACTTCCAGAACACAGCACAGGGTGAGCAGGTCAAGAGAAAGAGCCAGAGCAAGGAGCCAAGAGCCTGCAGTGTGGGAGCAGTCAGGAGGAACAGTCGATTTCCAGACACCAGAGGGGACTCCATGGAATCTGCTATCATTAAACTGACTAAATGTAGACTTAAGCCTGTCTTCAAGGCTACACTAGTAAAAGGGAGATTGTTCTTGAAGTGCTTTTATTTCTGTTCTCTCTAAACAGATCACATCAATGCAATTGTTCCAGATTATATTTTCTCCAGAAATCTAGCTTTTCAGAATTTAAAGGAATTCTTGATCTCCTCTAGAGTTGTCACTATAACAGGAAGGCCAAGGCAAAAGCAGCTTGAAAATAACTAAAATAAACAAACAAAAAAAGAAAAGAAATGTACCTACAAAAGCTCAGGACATAAAACTCCATTTGCATGAGATGTTTTATATGGAGAAAATTTTAGCATGAATAAAACATAATGCTCCATTTCACTATGTGAGAAATCTTGAGGGCAAAGACTTTTCTCCCCAATAGACACAAAAGGACAGCAAAACTGTGCCCTGTTCAGGTAAAAAGCGCAATATAGTTGGTGCAGATTGGCAAGTAAAACTAAGATTTACAATTGTGTTTCCTCAAAAAAAATGATGAAAAGAAAGATGTCTATAGCACAGTTGCAGCTGTTGGAGAAAGAAGTGGTCTTTGAAATGCAGGACAGGATTACAGAATGAACTGTAAAGAGAAAAGATGTTAGTAGTTAAATATTATTTCTTATTCATTACTCTTTTACTCAATTTTTTACTGTACTACTCAAACAGATGTGAATGATTATCTTTAAAAATATTCTAAAAATAAACTGCACTCAAAATTATCATCAATCATATTCCTAAATTAATCTAGTAGAAGCATAAATACATAAGAAATATTAGCTGACCTTGGCATAAATTGACTGTGAAAAGCCTGGAAAGACTGTAAAATTTGTGAAGATAAATGTCCATTCTCTACAGTGGAGGAATGAAGTGCCAGTGTTTTTGGCGCACCCTCACAGGTACTAGCAGTTAAATATCTGTGCGGGTTTTTTTAAAAGGGACTTTATACAAGTCCCTGAATAGATTTCTCTGGTAATATTGCACCTTGGCAACACATTTCTTGCTCAGGCAAAGACAGCAACAGAAGAAACTTCGCTAACAGTTTCCTGGAGAAGGAAGGAGTCTGTGTTTACTTCCCTGCTTAGCCACCATTCCTCCATTCTCCTCTTCTCTCCTCTTAAATTTCTTATAATGGAAAGAAACTTGCCACTAAAGGACCATAAAGTTCTAACTGATTTTCCTCATGTTCACTATTTTCACTCACAGGTCAAAGGATCTCTACTGGAAAAAACCACTACTGGATGGAACAAATATAAACAAGAATGCTTGAAAATGCTGCAGGAATCAACTGTAGATACTGGTAAGGAAACAAACAGCACAATAAAGCAATGTGTTAAGTAACATTGATGAATATGCAAATATTGTTACTTACTTTGCAGAATCGTGTGTCTGTTTATGAGTTCTAAATGTGGAACAATCAGCTGTAATGGACATGCAAACACGCAATCATGAAGTTAATGATTCTCTCTGTCCTGAAACATAAGGTTCCTATAGGTGAAACCAGATCTTATACAGAAATGAACCATTGAACAGCTGGTGCTAAGCTACCACTATGGTGCAACACTGAGTGCCTTGGTCAAGACGTAGCTGCTACCCATTGTTGGTAAGAACCATGTCCTTTGGATGAAGAAGATCAGTTTTCACTTCCCTTTTCAGCCTGAAGGATGTCAAACCCATATTGCTGGACCTAACCACAATGGAAACAATGCTAACCACAGGAGAACAGACCATCCAGGGAAACGAAGATGTCTCCCCGTTCTATACTTTAGAAACTGACCCATGGCAGACAAGAACCCAAAATACATGAGGCAAGACAGAGTCTGATTTCTGCCTAGTCAATGCAGCTAGGGAGCTGCTCTCTTCTCACAGCACTGCTTATGTGATACAGTCATCAGGTTAATAAACTAAGACACAGAGACCAGGTTGCCCCATGTTCACCTGGCACTTACAACTATTAGCCTAAAGTCCCTTATTTATTCTCCTGCCTCCACATCTTTTGGATTCTTTTCTCCTGAAAAGTGGCAGAGGGAGGAACTGAGCCCACACCTCCTACCTCTGGCAGAGTGCTCTGAGTTTTAAGCTGTTTGGCAAAAGGAGAGCTTATCTGTGATGATTTCACTCTTAAAAGTATAAACTATGCTCAACTAGAGGTCTGTCTTCAGGAAAGGATGACACAAGTTTGGTTTGAGTACTTGGAGAAGTTCAAAAAGTAGCTGAGAGAGAGCTGACTGCAGTCACCAAGGAAAGATTAAGAGTAAAACTGCTCTGTGTTTTATACTCACAGGTGCCTGCTCCTGTGTGCAAGTATACATTCATGGTCACCTTGCTTGGTGGCTACCTCACGCCATCAACTGCACAAGGAGACTCCAGGATGATATGAATTCTGACTCACTTTGCTAGTGGCAGAAAGCTGCGTTTATGACATTGAAGTGTGCAACTTTGTTGGCCAGAACTGGTCTGATTAAGATCAATGTCTGTATTTTTCATCATTCAAAATGAATTTAGAAGTTGGAAATGAGTCTAAAGCATCGGCCTGGCAATTTAAAACAGCAGAAAAAAAAGGAAAAAGAATACAGGTTTTCAAGACTAAATTATGTAATATTCTATGTTTTAAAGTTCCTTAAAATTTTCCCAAAATATTGAAATCTCTAACTTTCACAAGCCTTTGAAAATTAAAAGGGAAGATGTACTCTGTGAGGCAAAAAAACTGTTTTTAGTGATCACATTTAATAACAGGCTTTCTCTTTTTTCAACTGAATTAGAAGTTGCAGAAAATTAGCAGTTCTGCTTGGGCATAACAGCATGCTAAAGGAAAGAATCCTTATGTTCTCCAGCCTTTGTCATTGACCTGCTCCAGAGGCAGGTCAATGGCAGTTGCAACAGCATGAGCTAATTGCCTTAGCTTGGGATGTGAAGCTGTAACAGCCGAGGAAACAAAGCAAGACCCCATTCTCATTTCTGACCCCCCTCTCCATCAAGAGCTTGGTTCAGCTGTCGTAGTATACGTGGGGCAGGAAATGTCTACTCATTCTTTCTGAGCTTTTGAGTGTCCTCAGAAAAAGAAGCATATCAGCTATGCAAAAGTGGCCAGATACCCCCTGAGGACTACCAGAACTTTGCTAGGGCATGCAGAGATGTAGTCAGGCACTAAGGCTCATCTAGAACTGAAATTGTCCAAGTATGTCAAGAACAACATATGTGAGCACAAACACAGGGAAGACATGGGCTTGTTACTAAACAGGGCAGGAAAACCAGTCACTAATAATGGAGTACCTAGGAAACTACATGCCCATTTGTCTTACTTCAATCCCTGGGAAAGTAATGGAAAGAGACCTCCTAGAAACTGTCATTAGCCGAATGAAGCAGGTGGCTGGGAAAAGCCAGCACGGATTTACCAAGAGCGAATCATGCCTGACTAACCTGATCACCTACAACAAGGTAACATCTGCTGTTTACTTGGGGAGAGAAGTGGGTGTTGTTTACCTGGACTTCAGCAAAGCATTCGACGCTGCTTCCCACAGCCTTCTCCTAGACAAGTTGGCAAGGAACAGATTGGATGGAGGGTTGCAAGATGAGTAGTAAACTCGCTAGCTGGCCACACTCAAACAGTAGTGAAAAATGGTTTTGAGTCAGGCTGGCAGTCTGTCACAAGTGGGGTCTCCCAGGGATGGATACCAGGCCCCCCACTGTTCAACATCTTCATAAATGATCTGGGCACAATGGCACTGAAAGCACCATCAAAGATAGCACACAGCTGTCTTTGTTGCTCCCTGTATTTTTCTTCCCATAAAAGCATCTCAAAGTATTGCTAAGTATTATGGAAAACAAAGCAGGATATACTCTTCTAGCTCTGAATGGGCACTAAAGTTAAGAGAGAAGAACTTCAGCTTATCCTAGAAGACAGATAGAAACTGAGACTAGTGCAGTCATTAATGCATTTTATTTTCTTTCACTGTAAGCTGATTGCACCATTTCATTTCTGCATTATCAAATGTTTTATCTTAACCTTAAGTCCTGTGAGCGATGTGATACCTGTGAAGCTTAAAACTATGTCTGAGATGTTACCAGCTCTCTAACCTCTATTACCCAAAGACAAGAGGAGTCACTATCCGAGAAGCTGGCAGTGGTCTGAGCTGAGAACTGATGTCATAGGGGTCATGAAAGATGGAATATCTTCCATTTACCAGAAGTCTGTGACGTACCAAAAAAAGTGAGTGAGAGCACAACTGGAATCTGTTTGCTACGTTTGGACAACAGAGGCCTCAGGATGATTTTGAGCAATACCCTCATCTCACGATAATGAAGCATGTGCAACCTGCTGCTGATAGATCCAGTAGCAGCCATTTCTTCACTGTGCACTGCACATTGCACAGTGGATGCACAAAGTTTATCTGCTACATCTTTTAAATAGTCTGGAGTAGCTGGCAGGTTACCTGGAACAGTATACAATGGTTTTCTTGATTGTCCATTGTCTGAACAATTTTTTTTGTAAAACTTCTATTTGATTCTCTCCCCAGGAATACATTGCAATGGGACGTTTGATCAATTTGTTTGCTGGCCTTACTCATCCCCAGGAAATGTCTCTGTTCCTTGTCCTTCATATTTGCCATGGTTGGAAAACGGTAATGTGAAAGTGGTAACTCTCCTTGAGTGCATGCTGGGAATCCAGCTAAGGACAGATGATGCTGGTCTCTCCTGTCCCAGTGTCCTTTGAAGTGTCTGAGGGCTTTCTTGTATCACCTCTTTCACTCCTTTTCTGAATTGAGGTACAAAACTCTTGTCATCAATGTTTAATTATTTACTCTTTTTCTGCATCTGTGCTTGTTACAGCTCCATATTGTCTGCTGTAAAAGCAACATTTCCAACCGCTTTGCCAGGCCTTTATTGGCAGTAATGGGTTTGGGGTTCGGCTTCTGAGGTTCAACTTCTGGAGTCTCCACTGACCCCAAATACGAAGCTCTCTCCCAGAAAACTGCAACAGCCAAGCAAAGCCGCAATCCAAGCAGTGAGGCCTCCAGTAGGAAACACCTCACCACCAGTGGTGTGGTGGAAAACCAAACTTTCCCAGCAGCCTTTCCCTTGGAGGGAGAGGAGCAGGGAGACTCTCAGGAAGGAAAAAAGAATAATATGTACAGGATCAAAACTGTCTAAAAGCAAACAACATTCCTTTCCTCCTAAAGAAATGAAAGGACATTCCTACCACTGCAGCCTAGCATTTCTGAATCCTGCTACACAGCCTTTCTTAGCTGCATGTGGCATCCTTAGTTGCATTTCTAATACCACTTGGAAGGACCAGTTGTGTCTGAGTCCTTTACTTTATAGGAGACTACTATGGGCTGCTTATCATAGCTTTCTCCAGCCCACCCCACACAAGTTTTTTTTCTATGATGTCATAATTTGACATTTTTGGTGCCGCTAAACAGAAAGAGACCCAACTTCTATCTAGTCAACCCAAGAAAATGCTTCTGCCAACCATTTAGAACAAATTCAGCTCTTCATAGTAAAGACAAAAGCATCTTCCTTCCCTCCATGTAATGGAAACTCTTTTTTTTTCTCTTTTTCTGTCTAAATTTCTACAAAAGCAAGATGCAATGCATTGTACCAGGTTATGAAACTTTTAATTGTGTTCACAGTGGGGAACATAGTGGGGCTACAGTGTTTGTTACAGCATCATCTGGCATTCTCATCCATACCACAGCGCCTTAGAAGAAGAGGCGTTAGAGACAGCCCAGCTGTCGGTCTGTTCTAGAGATTTTGTGGGACTGGGGTTAGGGTTGCTTGTGGTCCCTATTTCCATTGCTAGTCCCATTTCCAAGGCAAAGCTGTGTCTGTTCTGGGACACCAATGGACTTGGACCAGAAATGCTTGGAAGCTTGAGGTAAATTTATTGTGGTTTGTCATCATTGCCAAGTCCGAGCACTGAAAAATTAGGGTTGTCTAGAAATGAGATTTATGATAACATTTCATAGATGTCTTCAGATTTTTTTTCAGTTTCTAGTCTCCACACAGAGCTCCTGCTCCATCACAGCAAACTGTGCTCCCATAGCAGTTCTCTCAGTTCTGTCATCCTGAGCGAAATGAGATATTCTGGTTGTTGCTGCAATCCTTAAACACTTCCTGATTAAAAAATGAATGAAAAAGATCAGGTCTGATTAGAAATAAGTGGAAGGCAGCTGTTGAGGACCACATCAAACAAACATCAACCCAGGTCCCCATACCATTCTTCTGATGCAAATTCTTAATTAGTATAAACTAGGACAGAGCAGTGAAAGCCAAGAAAGCTTCACCAGTTCACCCCACCTGCTGATCAGGCCTCAAAATATGTAAATAAAAGACCAGCCACAGGTGTTCCAGAGAAAGGTAATTTCCTAATCGAACCATACTCTTCCTCCTACAATTTTGACTACACAACCTGGGCAATGTGCTACTCGTACTTGATGAAATTTATGAGCTTAATGAGGAAAAAGGAATAAAGTGAGAGGTAGGCTATTCTTTTGGATGTAGTAACTATGTGGG